AGCTGGACTGTAATACTTACAGCACTCAGCTGGATACCTCACTGCAGTTATGACTAGAGAGCTTCTTTGACTCAGTTTTCTATGAAGGTCACAAGTCTCTTGTTTGGAGAGACTGTCACTTGCCTCCAGAATGAGTACTACATACTCAACACGTATCCCTACAACCAACCACACAGAAGAGGCAGCGGTGCTAATATGAGCCTCCAGCTGTTCCTCACTGAAGAGCTGATGATAACCCCTACCCAGGAGAGTTAAGTGAATAATTCTGGTTTAGGCTGGGCTATTCTTTCTGGTCCTAGAGATCCTCACGTATTTCCAAAGTTTCTGGTTCTGTACCATCTGTACAGGAACGATCACTTCTTCCTTCAAGGCCCTTTTGACTAATTACAGAAAAGTTCTTCATTTTGGCTTATACATTTGCTCAAAGTGCAATCTTTAAGTGCCAAGTCTTGACCAAGAGATTTCTATAAAATAGGCTCCTCAAAGGCTCGCACTCTGCTTTGCATGCTAATGAGAGTGATGTGGCAGCTCTCTGTCCCTTGAACCTGAGCACTCTGCATATGTCTTCTTTTAGGACAGTTCTATCTTGTTCATCAGGGCCTAACTTTGCAAATGGTAAGCATGCAATAGACATTGGGTAGGTGGATGGATGGATGGATGGATGCAGGGATGGATGGATGCAGGGAGCAAGGGAGGGAGGGAGGAAAGTAGGGATGGATGGATGGAACTTGCCTCCCTGTAACTTCCAACTCTGTTCTCTAAAATTTATTCATGGCAAATGACCAAGACTTCCTCTTCCTGAATGGTATGCATCTACTGTGTCCCAGGTTTCCAAACACCAGTAAGTGCAAACCTGTCACATTTATAGTAGTCCCAAATCTTGATGATTGAAGCACATATTCACCAACACTCAGTCCAGCTTTTTAAATTAGCATTCTAATTTAAAGAATTTCTACAAATCATCAGGGGTGCTTACTACTATGAGCTGAATGAGCTCAAGCCCCCACTAGCTTGTGAATCCTATGTTAAGTCACCTTCAAAGTCCTGATGAAACGAGGATTCAGAGAATCAGAGCCATAACCTTCAGGCTCTATCATGCTTCTGCTCCATTGCTCCGAGCCGAAATTCCACTCAACCACCGAAATTCCAACCTCTGTCAGACGACTGATCTCCACTGTTCTCCTCCTTCTACTGCCCACAACCAGCTACTTCCAAGGTCCCCACAGAGCTATGTCAGGCCCCTAGTGACACAGTTCTTTCCTTTCATTCCCAGAGGACAGGGCTTTCAAGAGGATAGGAGAATGAGGTCAAGGGTGCATTGCATGAAGGCAGAGCAATGAGGAGGCACATCCTACATTGTACCTGCCACCAGGGATCCCTCTAATCTCCAGGCCTTGTTGCCCAGTCTAGTCCACTCAGCCAGGTGTCTTCTTCACTCAGAGTGATTTTCTTTCAGGAAGCTATTTTTCTCTCATCTAGCAAGCATTGCTTTGAGGACCCCTAGTCCATCAGACAGGCCCGAACATGTCTGAACTGGAAATGAGGACAGGGTTCACTTGGCTTCCTTCCTATAAGGCTCCTGAACCTCATGCAAAACAAAAGGTATAGACGGACATCTGTTTTCAGCGTTCCTGAACATTCTGTGACAGGCAATAACTCCACAAACACTGTAAAAGACTAAGCGGCAACCTGCACAAACACATCAAGGATCTAGCTCCACATGGAACATCACAAAGTCTTATTTCCAACCCAACCAAAATACCCTGTTACAAGAACTTGAATGGGCACTGTATTATTTAGGGAGGGCTAAGCTGCAGAATCAAGGCTTACCAATAATTCTGTGACTTAAAAAATATACACGAGTTTGTCTCTTATGGAACAGTTCCACAATATACTTTTCAGGCAGACATGCAGCTCGGCTCCATAGGGTCACTCAGGAATTTAGGCTGATGGTAGCTCTGCTATCTTCAGTGGGTAGCTTCTGAGGTCATTCTAGTCATCATCATTTCATCCAGTAGGAAAGGGGGAAAAGGTGTGAAGGAGTAGGCAAGCAATGTTTCACAAGTCAGCCCTGTAAGTGGCACACCCCTTCCCCTTACACTCAAATGGTGAGAACCTGGTCCCAGGGCCATGGCTAGCTGCAGAGGAGACTGGGAAATGTAGTCCCTGGCAGAGCAGCCACATACCAGCTACAACTCTATTACTCTAGAACAAAGGACGGCAAACTATAGCCCAAGGGTCAAAAGCCCGCAGATTTTATAAACAAAGTTTTACTGGAGCACAGCCACACCCATTCATCTACTTATTGTCTGTGGCTGCTTACCTGCTACAAAGGCAGAGTTGAGTGGTTACGGCACAGAGATCTTATGGCCTGCAAAGCCTAGAATATTTACTATTTGGCCCTTTATAGAAAACATCTGCTATTCCCTCTTCTAGAAAAAAAGAATGGATTTGATGGGACAATTAGCAGTCTACACTTTCAAAATTTATCTCAGAAATTGTTGTAAAGATACATAGCCAAAAATATTCCTTGAAGCATTTTTTGTCATACCAAAAGACTAAAAACAACTTATAAAGGACTGTTAGGGGCTGGCCTAGTGGCATAGTGGTTAAGTTCATGCACTCTGCTTTGGTGGCCCAGGGTTCATGGGTTCGGATCCCGGGCATGGACCGATGCACCACTCATCAAGCCATGCTACGGCAGTGTCCCATATATAAAAATAGAGGAAGGTGGGCACAGATGCTAGCTCAGGGCTAATCTTCCTCAGCAAAAAGAGGAAGATTGGCACCAGATGTTAGCCCAGGCCCAATCTTCCTTACCAGAAAAAAAAAAAAAAAACCGGACTGTTAAATTATGGACCATGCATACCACAGAATACAATGTAACCTTTAAAAAGAATGAGGAAGTTCAACATGTACTGATCAGAAAATATTCAAATATATTAACTTTAAAAGGTAAAATACAGAACAATAGGCTTAGAATGTTACCATGTGTGGAGAGGAAAAAACACAGAATTTAATACATAATATCTATATGCTTACAAGGGCATAAAAAATTCCTGAAAGGATGTAAAAGAAACTGAAAACAGGTTGTTTCTGGGTAGGGAAATCAGAAAAATGAAGGAGAGTGGGAGGGAAGTTTACTTTTCATCATATACGCTTTTATATATTTTGAATCTGTACAAGGTGCATGTACCGTCTATTTTTAAAATAATTAAAAATTAATCCAAGAAAAACCACATATACAAAAGAATGGCTTTACTTTCACTACTAACCAATTCCCCTTCTGAAAGACAATCTTTCTTAAAAGCCATGGTAATATCTTCCCATCAGGTATAGTCAGTTCTACTGATCAGTGAGCCATTTTTCATTGTTTTTATTTACTTCCCTGCTCTGCTGTATGTGAGATTCTCAGAGATACCTATTTCTCTTATTTTCATAGTCAACTTACAAATTCTATTTTAGTTCCCTGCTTTTCTTGAAAGTTCCTCTTTCCAAACAGACAGTATTTATCAGTATTGATTCAGTTATCTCACACACGTTGAGCATAAAGAGAAGCAAATCTGACCTCAAGGGAAAACTAAACACAGAAAGACAAAAGTAACAGTTCCAGGAAAAAGAAACAACTTTGAAGAAAAGTCTTGCAAGGGAACCTATCTTTCAGTTAAAACTGACAGTGATCCAACTCACGCGAGTTTAAGAGAAAAAGGCATCTACCGGTTTACATAATTGGGAAGTTCAAAAGTTGGGGCTGGCTTGAAGCACAGATAGATCCAGGTGCTCAGAAATGCCCTGAGGGCTGTTGCTCTGCTCTCAGCTCTGCTGGGCTGCATTCTGCAGTCAGGCCCTCCTCCTGTGGCAGGCAAGATATCCACCAACAGCCCTCAACGCCCAGGTCCTTAGCTTAGCAATCCTAATGGAGACAAACGGAGAGAGAATTTCTCTCCCTGATCGTCAATACCGCAAACCCAGAAAACACTGTGCTGGGTCATTCTTAGACTTGTCCAGGGGTGGGGTCCAAGCCTGGCCCAGCTTAGGCTATATGCCTTTACCTATGGGCCACCAGGACCACATGAAATGTGCAATGATGAGTTCCCCAAAGTGCACTGCGGGAGTGTTAAGCAGAAAAAAACAACAAATGTCCTCTACTGCTTATAACAAGTCAAGACTACGGTCACGGGATATTCTAACAGGCTTAAAACTATAAACCTTGCTCCCACACTGGTTAGAAGTAGGGGATTTCAATTTCAAGGCAAGGTGGCTGGGAGTTCAAACTTACACACACACGTTGTCTGATTTGTCTGTACTAGATATAATTTTGAATACCAGACTGGAACCCTGCTCATAAACTAGCCAAAATAACCCTCCAAAAATGCAATTTGTAAATCAGATTACAATCTTTTGGTCCCTCTGAAACTTTTCGCTCAGGACGAAGTATTTCCGTAGTGCAGCCTGCCAAAATTTATCTTCTTCATTCTAGCCACATACTTTTTAAATGACCATTTGAAACTCAATGAAGATATCCAAATATGGGGTCTATATTTAGCTCTAAATTATAAAATAATAGGTTGTATTTGTATTCTTCTTACCAAAAGTTCGTTCACTTGCTCCCAGAATCTTCCTGGTCAGCTGAACCATATGGATATATGATATTTCCTTACACTGACTCATTCTTGAGTAAATGATTGCAGTTGTCCCTCCAAAGTACAAGGCAGAAGATTTATATTAAAGTTTCTTAATAAGCAGAAAACTCATCTAAGATCAAAAGTTTGGACATCCTTGCAATAAAAAATGGCTCATTTTTACAGTTAGAATCATGAAGACATGAATGAGAGCTAGTGTTACATGCTGATTTAATGCCAAACATCTTTTATTTGGAATTATATGATTAAAGCCAAATTTCCAAAACATCTTCAAGAAGGAAAATTGATAAATGTATTTCAGAGCAATGGTTCCCTGTCTCAGATCATCAAGAGTCACACAGAATCTTCAAAACAAAATTAATTTTACATCAATTTTATTTAAAAACATATACAAATAGGCTAAATAACACTCAAGTCTGACAGGGCTGCAAACTTTTTTAAGAACATAACAGTCCAAAAAGACTAATACTTATTGCTGATTCAGCTCACAATATCAGCCCTCTTCAGACAGCAGCATAATCACTAGCAAATATCATATGCGCCCCTTTTACAGGCATTGGAGATTCAAAGAACAGTGAGCACAGCCCCGTTCTCAAGGAGCTTACAGTACAGCTGGAGAGAACGAAACATCCAGAACAAAGTCCACACATCTATCATAACAAAAGCAATTACTGATATAAGTCATCACATGTTTGAACAAATGAGCTGTAGGAATATCTTAGCAAATATACACTACATCAAGTTTCAACCTGACATATCAAAAAAAAAAGTTTTATTTTTTTGTTCACCCATTTTTCAACTCAATTGAATTAAAAGAGGAAAACATAATTCGAAGCCAAACGCACCACAATGTTTGCTGCCCCGAATGAAGGGATGGATTGTTCATGTCCTAGAATTTCTCCACGCTTCTACGTCCAGATGTCAAGGTCAGTAGTTCTGACTGCCAAACCGATGTACAAACTCAGACAGCGAATAGACAGCTCCCCACCCTACCTCAGGATCCATGCTGATAAAATCATTCAGGTTCATTTTGGAATCTAAAAAAATACATGAAAGAAATGTTCACTGAAAGCAGAATTTTGGTTTAACAGCAATAAAAAGACCCAGAAGACCAAAAGTAAAGAAAATTATTCAAATGGATAAGAGTTCAATATCACCTCTGTGGTATTTCTTGTCTCAAAGGCATAACTTCAATCTAATCCCGACAAAACATCGACACAAACCCAAACTGAGGGACACTCTACAAAATAACTGAGCAGTACTCTTCAAAAGTGTAAAAGTTGTAAAAGAAAAAAAGAAAAATGAATTGTCACAGATTGAAAGAGACCGAGGAGACGTGACAACTACATGTAATATTCTGGGTTAGATCCTGGCCCAGAAAAAAGAAATTAGTGAGAAAATTTGCAAAATTTCATTAAGGTCTATAAGTTAATAATATTCCATCAACAGTATTATGTCAATATTTTTGTATCTATTGTATGATTTTCTTGGTTTCGATAATTACACAATGGTCATGTGACATTTAAGATTAGGGAAATCTGAGTAAAGGGTGTATAGGAACTCTCCGTACTGTTTTAGCAAATTTTCTAGATGCTAAAATTATTTCAAAATAAAAAGTTAAGGGAAAAAAATGCATGAATAATCAAACTGCCAATTTACTGAATTCAACTGCTAATTGACAGGAAGTTCAGAGCATACAAAAGAGATAAAATCAGCAAAATTCAGACTATTTCTCCTATACTCAGTTTCTTCAACAAATAAATTACAAGAAAAAAACAAAGAGTTGGACAAGGAATCTACACATTAAAAAAAGACTCTTAAGAGGCATACCAACCAAGCACAATATGCGGATTTTATTTGGACCCTCATTCAAATAAACAAACTGGATGAAAAAAGATTATGACTTTATGAGATAACTGTTAATTTGAACACTGATTAGATGGATAAAAAATTATTTTAAAGAATTTTTGTTAATTTTTAGATAATAGTTTTGTTGTCATCATTTTTAAAAAAGAAATCCTTGTATTTTAGAGATTCATACTGAAATATTTAGAGTTGAAAGGACATAATATCTGGGATTTGCTTTGCTATCAAAGTAATACAAGAAGGGGGAAAGTGGATGGGATATAAATGAATCAACTGGCCATGAGCTGATAACTATTGAAAGTTTCATATACTATTGTGTCTAGTTTTGTATATGATTTAAATTTTCCATACTAAAACAATTTTTTAGGTGTGTACAGATTTCTGCTTCTGCCCACCAAAGAAGTGTTATGAGAAGAGCACTTCCACCATAATCTACCAGAAAACTGGACAAAATATACGAAGCAACTGTTCTAGACACTGGACAATGGGCAGCACCCAACCGTGATTCCCAAGGAAGCAGAAACAAGCAAGGGAGCCCTGGGATCACTCCAGCTTGCAGCCCGGGGGCCGTTTCCAGACCACAGCACAGAGGGGGAACACAAACAGCTGGGCAGCGTCTCCGAGGTGAGAAAACAGAGATCCAAGTCCAGGAGGGCCCAGGCAGTTAGATCTGGGGGGCAGAGTATCAGAGGAGGGAGCTGCGCAGAGAGAGTTCCAGAGATCTGTAGAGGGGACCCACTCCACACACGTGCACATGCACACCCAAGTCTTTGGCTAAGTACCCTTCTCATAAGGCCAGGGAAAGAAGCACCAGGAAGCAGCTGGTCTAACAATTCCCACAGTCCCCACCAGCCAGGGTGGAGAGAATTCCTGACACACGGGCGTTTGGTAGAGTCCTCAAAAGGGTCACCCCAGAGGAGTGGGGCTGAATTAATCCTGGATGAGAGGCTGCTCTGAACCTGCACTAAGAAAAAAAAACCCAAAAGGATCCCAGTGACTCAAGTAATTGAACTGCATGCTGGAACAAAATCCAACACTGTTTGTAAAAAGCACCTCAAGATCCAGAAACCGACAACGTAAAATTCACAAAGTCCAGCATCCAACCAAATATTACCAATTACACCAAAAAAACCAAACAGGAAAACATGACCCAAAATCAGGATAAAAATCAATCAACAGAAACAGACTGAAATCACAGAGATAATGGAACTAACAGACAAGGACCAGCTATTATACAAACTGTATGCTTCGTATGTTCAAAAGGGTAGAGTAAAACATGAGCATGACGGAGAGAATGGAAGATAGAAAATAAGCCCCAAATGGAACTCCTAGAGATGAAAAATAAAATACGTAAAATGAAAAAAATGCACTGGATGGGATTAACAGCAAATTAGTTAATGTAGAAGAAAAGATCAATGAACTGACAGACAAAATAAAAGAATTATTCAAAATGAAGCACATATAGAAAAAGTCTGAAAAATACGAATAGAACACCGTTGACCTATGGGAATAATATCAAGCCATCCAACATATGTGTAGCTGAGGGACAAGAATAAAAAAGGAGGTGAGTCAGAAAAAATATTTGAAGAAATAATGGCCAATGTTTCCAAATATGATGAAAATTATAAACCCACCAATCCAAGAATTTTAACAAACCTGAAGTGGAACAAGCCTAAAGAAAACTACACTACAGTCCATCATAATCAAATTGCTGACAACTAGTGATAAAGACAAAAACCTTAAAAAGCAGCCAGAGGGTAAAAAAAGACACAGTACATTCAGAAAAACAAATACAAGGACAATAGTATGCTCCTTGATGGGAACCGACGCAAGCAGAAAATAAAAGAGAGACCTCTTTAAAGAACTGAAAAAAAAAACACATAAAACTAGCATTCATTACCCAACAAAAATATCTTTCAAAAATAAAGGTAGGCACTTAGGATATAGAAAACTAGAAACAGTTGCTACCACACTTAAACAAAAAACAACTAAATCAGCAAAACAAGAAGTTTTGTTGAAGTCATCAGAGAGCTAGGGATGCAGAATGACCAAGTAACCAGAAATAAAGGAAAGACAGGCACCATCAAGGAAAGATGGGTGGAAGTTCTTGCTTACCTGGGTAGATGCCAGACTCCACATAAGTCAGGAAGTAAGTGGGCTAAAATTTTTAACAAATTGCTAAGGAAACCTCAATTTCTGAAATACAACAGTATTTGTTTTCCAGGATTTTTAAATATAATTAAATAAAAAATGATTACTATCTGCAGGCATTCATTACTTAAAAAGATCAATGCATAAAAATAAAATAAAAATTTAAAAACTGTTAGAAGATCAGTGTATAACAAATAAGCATTTGCCTATAACCTCCCGATGAGGCACTATAACATTCCCCTTTACATAACACTGGTGCTCGAGCTGGGCTCAAATTAGCCAATGTTACTATAATACATTCGACAACAAGAAGATGAGAGGTATATGTGAGTAAGAGGCAGCAAAGGGCTCAGAAAGAGAAGGGGACAAATTTGGTGTACTCTGTAATTCAGCCCAAGACTTGGAAAATGTACTTAAAAACAGCCATCCGTAGCTGATGCTGGAAGTGAGTCTTTAGGTCAAGGCTGTAAGATTGTCAATCTCAGCTTCCTTCTTATTAGGGAAAAAAAAGAGTTCCCTTCTTTAAAATACATTAAATGCTGAATTGAAAACAGTGGTCCTGCAGACACATGGCCACCAGAACTATTAAGTATACAGGCTTAATCATAATGCACAACACATCAAATGTACTAAATTTTAAGTCATAAGAGTCAATCCCATAACTAAAGGCAGGGCACTGAGTAAAGTTGCTATTAAAACATCTAAAACATGCATTAATTTAAAGTTTGATGCTTTCTTGAACCATTTTTTTCTTTCTTTAACGTTCCTTTTCTCAATAGAACACTAGTTATTAGCTAAAAGTAATCCCCATTTATCCTAACTTCGAATGGATTCCTTCGATAAATACAAGGCTTGAAGTAATGAATTTACCACATGAGAGAACACTATAATATGGTTAAATTATTACATGAGAAACCAATACGTTCACCCCACACTCAGGGCAGACTCCTTTCAGTTTCAATCTCAAGTTCAGGAGGCCCCTGATGAACTAATTACATATGTGGCCAAAAAAAGACACTGCCTCCCTTCATAAAAAATCCCTCCTCAAGCACAGCGTGCTACCAGACCTGCCACTTTCTAGCAGTGCACCTTCAGCAAAGGGCTTAACCTTCAAGCACATCAGTTTACATGTCTATCAAATGCGGAAAGTAAAGCTTGCCTCACTGAGTTGTGGTGAAAATTAAACGGTTCTGTAAAGGGGCTGGCACAAAGCCTGGCACAAAACAGCACCTACTGGGTTGTAGTCATCAAAACCCAAAGGGATGACTCAAACGGGATCAGGGCTGACACGGTGGTGTTTACTGAATGCCTACTATGTGCTAGGCCCTGTGTTAGCACTCATGTCCAAAAAACAAATAGGGAGTTGCCAAAGGCACATTGTCCCAGACCACGCCCTGTATAGCTGGTTGTCCAAGACTAAAAGTTAAGACCTATGAAGCACTCTCCTGGCCTAGGGGCTATCACAATGCTAATGCTGAGGCTGGGAAGCAGGCCGGTGGACCAAAAAGCAATTCCAATATAAATTTTAAAAATTATGAAAGCTTTTCATGGAGAGCCTCAAAAATCAGAGTTTGCATCCTCTTTTAGTGTTCACTTCCTTCGAATACACCGAATATATTTTTTACTTTCCTCCTTGCTGAACTAATATTACTCCCCTATTTTTCTGGCACATTGCACAGCTTACAGAGCATTTTCACAAAGACAGTATTGTCTCTATGTGATGGGATGATCTCACCAATAAATGCCAATGCTGTGCATTACTTACAATCATAAATAATGTTTCCAACTCGTGTGAATGCCAAACAATAGTAATAGGGTGAAGAATCCTTTGTCAACTTAAATCTCAAGAAATTATTAATTGGATTGATGCCTAAAAGCACATAACTGAGATGAGTGGTACAAAAAAATCTGCTGGCTCGCACCTCCTTCTAATGCAGATTTTATTACAGTGCCAGTGAAATGGCATTTCACACCTCACAAGGAGGCGCTGGGATTTCTTTCACCACATGAAATCCTACATGGCAAGGTGCTCCTAGTCCCACTGTTAAATGACACAAACACACAAATCTCCTGAAGTCCAGTGTCCCAACAGTAGGTACAACCAATACTCTGGCAGGTGTCATGGTTCTGCTCCTTAACACCTCTCCATGCCCATGGGTTCTTATGCCTCTAGTCCTGCTCTCTGTGCCTCAATATCTGAATCTAATAAATACACAGAACTATATTCCCTCTTACCTCCTTACCACTCAGGGAGTTTTCCCCAAAGAATAATGCAACTTTTGTCCTTGGTTAAGAGAAAATGCTGATCTGCAGATCGGAAACCCCCTGAGAAGGCATCTTTGGCTCACCTCCAGTTTCAATGCAGGGATAGGATGGAGGCGGTTCTCTCCAGTTCCCACTGGAATCTTTCATGTGAGATCGGTCAGAAGCAAAGTTCTTCAAATATGAATCTGCACGGATCACTCTAAATTTCCTGCAGATAAATCAACATTCATTTCTATCAGGGAGGTATCACAGTTGAAATTCTATCTCAATTTTTATATAGATTCATTTTCTATCACATGCACAAAACTATGCAGGCATTTTTGTACTATTAGTAATACACAAATATATACATCCAGCTTTATTACCTGTTAAAGAAGCCATGAGAAATGATCAGCTGAAATCCAAAACTACAAGGCACAGAAACATATCTGGTTGCTTTTATTTACTCAATTGTATATCAGGGGCAAAGGGCATAATTTTCAGATGCTGCCATCACAGGCCTCGAAATTTTGGCGTCATAAGGCATTCAGCTCCCCCACTCCACACCACCCACACACCCAAAAATAAGAGGATGAGAGAAATCCCCAAAATGGCTTTAAGAAAATGTATGGAATCTCATCACACACATTTTTAAAAGACTGCCAACATTTCATACAATAGACAACCTCTACAACTTTAAAACATTTTGAATCACCTGTGTAGCACATCATTCTCAATTATCAACTCAATGGTGATGCCAAGACAAGTGATCTTTACAAAACAAATGCAGAAACAAATAAACTCTGTATACTTGTCAAGGTTTAACTTCAGAAAGCAGGAAACTCCACCCTGAATTTCCTCACCTCCTAAACTGTGGGTGGATGTCCTCGTCAGACTTAAAGGCGTCTTCCACATAAATGTCAAAGGGACAGGGAAAGGGCAGGACAGTGTCAAGGTCATAAATGAAGCTCTGTCCTCCACTTGAAACATGAAGCAAGACAACATGGTAATCCTAGAAGTACAAGTTGCTGAAGTTAACCAAGTTACTTTATGATGGTGAATTCCAACATTACAGTAATAATGCATTTATATCATCAAAAAGGGATACAAGACTAATACAGCCCTCTTTATGATACCAAAATAAAATAACACAAAACCCTGAAATCAGATCAAATGTCTAGTGACAGGGAATAGTTAAATAAAAAGTGGAAATGTTCATATACATTAAATGTTACCCTTTGACCCAGCAATTTAACCTCTAGGAATCCATCCTACAGAAAATGGCCATTCGCATGTAAAGGTATATATACAAAGAAAATCTCTGCAGCACTGTTTATAATAGTGAAAACTCAGAAACAACCAAAAACCCACCAAGAAGGGAATGGTTAATAAACAACAATGCAGGGCCGGCTCCGTGGCTTAGCGGTTAAGTGCGCGCGCTCTGATGCTGGCGGCCCGGGTTCGGATCCCGGGCGCGCCCCAAGGCACCACTTCTCCGTCCAGCCCGGGGCCGGGTCCCGCGTACGGCAACTAGAAGGATGTGAATCTACAACATACAACTATCTACTGGGGCTTTGGGGGGAAAAAATGAATAAATAAAATCTTTAAAAAAAAAAAAATAAACGACAATGCAGGCATATGACAGAATACTATGCAGCTGCTAAAAAGAATTAGATAAATTTATGTGGAAAACAGAAAAAGGTCCATGTTATATAGCTGGATGGAAAAAGCAATTGCAGCATATGTACATTATTTTTAAAAAGCTATGTGTATATAAAGATGCACATGTGCATTCAGAAGTACATATGCATGCATATGAATACAGAGGAAAAGTTTGCAAGGATATCTTCCAAACTATTAACAAAGGGGACTGCTTGAGGTTAGCCTGGAGATGGGAAGAAGGACTTCAATTTCTTGTTTTATACTACATTTGTAATTAAAAGAAAGAAAAATGTTGGTTTTCTTTTTTAACGTCAGCCAAGCCCTAATGTGTAACCGCTAAGGGAGAAGGATAAAGAGAGCTTCTCCTGCACAGCTTGCGCACAGCCCAGCTCGGCCACAGCGTGTATGTGAATTCTCACTCTCACTCCCAGACACTGGGCACCGCTGGGAGGGATGTCAAGGAGGTTATCAAGGGGCATGAGGGCAGTCCGGTGCTTTGAGTTCCTCAGAAGAAAAACGCTCTCACAGAGAACAGCACTGCGAGATAAAAGTTCAATCACATTAGCACGACATTAGTAACACCATCTTCCATTTCTAGTATTTCAGAGCTTACAAAGCACTTTCTCAAATGTTATTTCATTTGACACCATGAGGTGGGGAAGATAATTAATTGAGACTGGCGATGTGGTACCATTAGAGCCTGAAGTGCTTCCTTTGGCTCCAATTCTATCTTAATAAAGCAGAAATAGCATCAGAAATGGATGCTTATTCCCTATACTTCTCTTAATGCATCCTACTTTCCAGATAAATAAACTAGGAGCTGCTCTCCCTATAACAGTCCACAATTCCCTTCCCCTGGGTTTGTTGATGTTACTCCCCTCCACCAGCAGCAACCTTCTCCACCTCCCTCCCCATATCCATCACTCAAGCTCCGGCTCAGAGGCTTTCGCCCCTATGAGTCCATTTTTCATTTCTCCCACCCCCGGCCAGAAGCAGTCCCTGCCTTATCCAAAATCTCTTTCTCTCTTGACATCTTCTACCTCATATTACAGTTTTTTTGAAGAACATACTCTCTATTGTTTGTGGGAAACTGTGCTGTTGAAACACAGATACAAAGATGAGAAAGAGAAGTCCTGACCCCGAAGGAATTCCCAGAGAAGTGGGAATTGTTGCCAGACAGCGTGATGATGAGACAGACCAAGGGAGGTGGAGACCATGCAGGTAAGGGCATCCTGAAGGCAGACCGCCTGGTTCAAACCTCAGCCCCTCCACCTAGCAGCCTCAGCTTCCTCTTTCATAAAACGGAGATAACCGCAGCGTCTACCTCAGAGTGTTACTGGGAGAATTAATGAGATTATCTGTATAAAAGTGCAGTCTTTTCAAAAGCCAAGCAAGAAACAGAGGGAATGCAGGCCCAAATGCCAAGGAGAGTTTCACTGAGGAAGGGCTGCCGTGGCTTAATCCTGCCTGAGGGGAGAGCTTTCCAGAAAGAAGATACAACTTGTGAAAAGGCATAAACAGTGAATATCCACCACCTTCTAGTTAGTTCAGGTCCATATTCCTACATACCAGATGGCTGATGAACTTGAGAGGGAAAGCAGGCCTTGACTTGGAATCGCCTTCATGGCACAGATGAGGAGCCAAGGAATGCAGATTTAAGCCTAGCCTCACTCTCCGAGTCAGGGTACAGTGCTTGCCCAATTGTCAGGAAAAGACCAGCGGGGCTAGGGGAAGGGATGCCCACCTAGAAGGTGATCTGCTCCTTGGGGTTTGGTGTCTCTACACACTCCGAGAGGTCTACCCATTTTCTACAACAGGACAGCAGTGAGGCACAGATAAATTTGCCAGAGGGTGTGGGGAGACTGCCTGCAACAGGATTCCCCACCCTGAGCTGCCATGAGATGTTGCTTAAGGGGGACATGACCACACATCCTTTCCCTAAGAGTTTCCCTAAGATGGGAAGCAAGACCATGACTCAAAATCAGCTGAGTGGCAGCAATGCAGATGACTTCTAGGGCAGACAGACAGTCTACAACAGGGGTTCTGTAGTGTTGCTAACAATAATAGCTAATGCTTCTCAAGCACTGTTACCAGACACCGTACCAGATGCCAGGGTAATGCTTCAAATCATTCTCTCATTAAGCCTCACAACCCCATGGACTAGAGGAGGACACTGAAGAAAGAGGGTAAAACACACCCAGTTCACACAGCCCAATGGGGACTGGGACTTAACCCCAGTCTGCCTGACTCTGAGACCTCGCTCCTAACCCAAGACTGCTGGATTTGGGCTTTAACTTTAGAGCAGCAGATCACCTGCTAGTAAAGGAGGCAGGAATGTGAGCTCCATGAGGCCAGAGATTTGAGTCTATTTTGTGCCCAACATATAATAGGCACTCAATAAATATATGTTAAATAAATGCATGAAGCCAATTCAAATGATATCATATTTTAAATAACTATCAGAAACTAGATGTTTGTTACATTATCATGAATGGAGTTTTTCTTTTACTTTATCTTCATGTTTATTAGCATAAACAATTCTGTTCTTCAGGGGGCCAGCTTAAGGTGACACAGATGTGTATTAGAAAGGACCCAGGCCTGAGAGCCAGTCCTGCCACTGATCGGCTAGATGACCTTGAGCTACTCACTCTGTCTTTCTGGGCTTGTTTCTCTACCTGAAAAATGAAGGAGTTGGAGCAGATCTGTGTTTTTCAAATTCCAGTCATGTTCACTTGGGAGTTTGCTAAGAACACTAATTCCTGAACCCTTCTCTAAATCAACCAAATCAGAAACCAGTATTTTTAACATAGTCTCCAGAGAATTCTAATGTGCAGCTGGACTGGATATTGCTAATGCTCCTTCTAGTGCTAAGTGCATAAAAGTCTAAAAGATCATTAATATATCTGCCACATCAGCCATTTAAAATAATTCCTATAAATAATTTCAAAATTAAAAGAAAACATGCCTATAAGTGCTTCTACCTTAGGCCAAATAACATCTATTCTCAAGACGTCATTTTATTAATAACTGTCATAGCCTTTCTCTACTGCCCTATCATTTCTGCTTTACCAAAACATAAAGACCACTCAGGGATTACAAGTACTAACACATCAGAGGCTCTCGGTATTGACCATCTTACCCAGATCACAGGCCCATCTCCAGGTCTTGCCTGTTGTTTCCAGATAGGTATCTACGAAATACAATAAATTTCATAAGCCACAACTTCAGTTAAACCACCACTACATTCTTTAAAGCAATACATAAATTAAAAATAAAATATTTCTAAGCAACCAACAATCCGGGTGAAAGAACGAACGAAGAACAAGAAATCGAAACCCTTCCAAGTGTCTTTAACAATGAAAGAGCAAAAATTAATTATATGATGTTCTTTGGAGAGTAGAAAGAGACCTGAACTAGGAATCAGAAGGCCTGGAAGGTTCAAGTCTTGCTTTCCCGCTTAATTATTCATGGCACCTCCCTGAGTCTCTACTTCCTCATCTATAAAACGGAGACAGTTGTCTGAACCTTGTCTAGTTCACAAGGTTTCCATTAGGATCAAATGAGATGATGTTTGCAAAAGTGCTTTACAAAATATGCAGGGCTTACTTTTTTAAGACTTCATATAGGTTTACTGTAGTTCTATTTAAACTCCAGAGACAAAGAAATCTTTACGTCAAACCTAAGATATGTGGCTCTAATCTAAGCAATTAAAAAAATTCTGATTTAATATGTAAAGAAAAGAGACTCAATCTGTGTAAACATACCATCACTTATTTCCTTATCTACAAGTAAGGGACTAAACTCTTCTAACTCAACTCTGCCCTCTAAGGAAAAAAAAAAATCTCATTCAAAAACAAACTTAACAATGTTGCTGTATTTTATAAAGCACATTTTAGAACAGTACTAAACCCATGCTATATTTAGCTTCTAATATCATCTTAAATCTCTTGTTTTCTTTCTGCACTCACTCGCCAACTTACCATCTTCCTCTCATTAGATATGAAGACAGCGTAACACTCTTCTAAAGGATACTGGTCATGGTTTTTGATGTATTCACAGAGTTTCCAAATATTTTCTTCACTAAAATAAAATAATTGTTTAATCAATATTACAGAACGTTCTTTCAAATTTGAACAAAAGACAGATAATGTCATAAAAAAGTTGGAAGAGACCTCAAATACCATCTTATCTAAAAATTGGCTAATGTTTGAACCTCCTCTGAAATATCCCCCACAAGGTGTTACTCTACCTATACTGTGTGTGGACACCTCTCCAAACACAGCTCATCATCTCCCCCAGCAGTGCTTGCGTATGGAGGCATTTTACAACTGACAAAATGCTATGTCAATATTCTACAAGGTTTGGGTCCAGGGACTTGAGACACAGCTGGAATTCCAACTCAGCCACTCACAAAGTAAGAAGTTTTAAACATCTTTACCTCTCTGAGGGTCTGCTTTTCTCACTTGTAAAATGAGCATAATCACATCATATTATAAACACTCAACAAATCCTAGTTAACATTGGTCCCCTGCTCCCCTTAGGATTGGGGCAGGATGCGTGTTTTGGGTAGGAGGGCTGGAAAGGATCGGGGCAGTTACGTGATATATCCGGGAATTCTTCTCGAGGGAGCCCCTGGGAGTGGGATTCCCCAAATCCCTCTGGTAAGGAGAAGGTCCTGACTTTTGGAAAGTTCTTTCTCATATTGAACTGAAATCCATCTTCCTACATCTCTGCCGCAGAGATATGTCTCTTCTATATGACAGGCCTTTAGCTATTTGAAGCAGTGGTCAGAACCTGCCTAAGTAAAGCGATGCCCAGTGCATCGAACCAAGCCACGCTGGTAGCCACAGCCACACCCCAACACGGGCAAGCACAGTCACTGCTGGCAGTATTCACAGTTCAGCCTCTGGGCGCCTGTCCTTTTCTAATGAGCCACACAGCATCTTTGCTCAAAATCAGCTACACCAACACTCTGCTCACACACACGATTCAATCTGTCAAAGCCTAATTTCCAGCCCTCTATGCCATGCTACCCAAAAATGAAGCAAGGCATGAATGGCATTGAGGACTATCACCATTCTATAGAATACACACTTTCAATTCACAAGTCTTGCCCTTGTCTGCTGTCTCAAGGCTCCATATGACTAGACTTAAAGTACCAAAGTTGAGCATCTGTATTTTTCTATGATTTTGTTTTTCTCTAAAATACCTAAGAAACCCTACAGAAAAAGGGGTGGTAGCAGTAACAACAGGAGATTGCTACTACTTCCATGGGATATGTAGTATGGAGTAACAAAAACTTACTGTTTCATAACATGTAGTAGCTAAAATTTTTTCAATCTGGATGTTCTAAGACCAAGTTTTGCGAAGACAATTTGTCTGTGCAGAGTATAGATGTTTTGGAGAGTTGACCACAAACCTTCAAGAGCCTATGATGTACAAAGCATGGTGCTAAGTGCTTGAAGGATACAATGATAAATTAGAGCTCACAGACGGTGAGAGGAGACACGCAGATCCATAAATAAGCAAGCATCATAGAAGGCCATAAAAGATGCATGGAGAAAGCACAGAGGAGAGAGTCATTAATTTTGAGGGATACAGGAAGATGGAAGAGGCATAGGTCAATAGTTTCTTCTTGTTTGTTCCCCTTCCCCCATCCCAGGGACGGGCACAGAGTTAATGTAAAGAGTTCGAGAATCCATATGAACCAGCACTACTGGTAGGCTGAATACACATGTGACTTGGACATACTTTGCCTATTATTTTTCAAATATGTGTGAATGTTACACAGAAGAAAAAACAAGTTTAAACATAAGAGTTACTGAACTTGTAGCGCTTTTTATCATCAATTTTTTTCAAGAGTACAATTAATATCATGTAGGAGGATCTCATGAAACTTTTGATAGTAATAAAAAAGAGGACCTTAAACTTGGAAATGTTGGGAGTCACTGTTCCCGGATTTGGTGTCAGTTCTGGTACCCATTTAACTGGTGGAAAAAAAAAAAAGTCGGGGGGTGATGATGATAATGTCTCAACCTGTCAGTTGATTATATTGGTAGCAGAAAGGCTAACAAAGCAGCATTAGAGCTGAGATTCTGCAAGGGCGATGGGCTGAGGTCAGAGAAGTATGCAGAAGGGGAGGATCCCTGGCACACAGGAGGTGCTCAACAAACGTTTGAAAAATACAAAACAATTACAACAGAATCAGAGTGCTCTGCAAACCACACAGTGTGACACAAATACTAGCTACCACTATTGTCCTTAAGCTGGGCGTCTTTCAAAGATAAGCAGCATTTGACAGAAGCTAACAGAAGCAGAGAGGAGGCATTTATTTCAAGTTAGAAGAACCCACAAGAGCAAACACAGTAAGGTGTACCTATCTGATGTGTTCAGACAGGGCAGAGCACTGGTTCTCAATCAGAGGTGACTTTGCTGCCCAGGTGACATTTGGCAATGTCTGGAGACATTTTTGGTTGTCATAAATTGGGAGAGAGTGCTATGGGCCTCTAGTGTCTAGAGGACAGGGATGCTGCTACACATCCTACAATACACAGAAGAGCCCCCCACAACAGAGAATTAACACGCTCCAAAGGTCAACAGAGCCAAGGTTGAGAAACCCTGGGGTAGAGCAGCAAAGGCAGGTTCAAAATGAGGCTGGAGGAACAGATGGTGACCAGATCTTGGAGGGCCTGCCATGCTCAGGTGATAAACTTTATTGTCTATGTCTGTACTCCTTGAAATGTGATAACAGACTAGATTCAGACCCCTCCACTGTGCTGCTCCCACATCCAGACTTTCTGGGGGTGGGACTCTAAGAGCTACATGTTTTACAAGCTGCCAGGTGATTCTCTACCACATTCAAATTTAGGACGGCTTTGAGCAGTGTGAAGCCAGCTAAAGTTAAAGACCTGACGGGATAAGGGCAAGCTAGGCAGGGAGGCCTGTTAGGAAGGACTGGAACAGGTCCGACAGCTGAGGAGTGCCTGGCCTATGGCTGAAGGAACGAAAAGGAGATGATGTAAGAGACATTCATCTCCAACCATTCTTCCACCAAATCGCTCCACTCCAACTGTGCCAGCCTCCTTGGTGTTCCTAGAATACTCACGGCACACTTCCTTCTCAGAGCCTTTGCACCTGCTGCTTCTCCCACCTGGAATGATCTTCCTCCAATATCCAAAAAGCTCCCACCCTCTTCCTCTTCAGCTCTCTGTTCAAACATCACCTTATCAACTATGTCTTCCTTAAATATCCTAATACTGTAGTTTCACTAGAACACAGCCCTGCCCATTCATTCTGTCTATGACTGTATGAATTAGCATGAGTCACCATCCCTCACCTTGGTTTATTTTTCTCATAGCACTTAACACCACCCAAATATGGCTTACCTGTTTTTGTTTGCAAAACCTAAGAACCATGAGATCTTACCAGGGAATCTGTCTGGTTGTTCATGGCTGTATCCCTAGTGCCTAGAATCATGCATCACACGCTCCAAGTGCCTAATAAACATTTATTGAATGAATGAATAAAACAATGCATGGACATTAGGGACACGAGCTAATAGGATTTAGGTGAGAGGCAGGGCAGAACCATGGACTCAAGCATTGCAGAGGTTCCGGTTTCGGCACCACCACTTGCTAGATGTGTGATCTTGGGCAAACAACAGGCCACTCTGTGGTTCAGTCATTTCATCAGTAAAATGAGGATAATGATAGTCACAGAACCTATCTCCCAGGCACGCATGGAAGCACTTGGCACTAGGCCTTTCCTTACATGCAGTCAGAGCTGAACAAATATTAAGCTCTTGGAGGCACTGGTTTGGTGACCAGCTGAAGGAGGGAAAAGTAGTTTTAGATGCCCCTAAGGTTTCTTGTGCAGGGACTGGAAATTGGGGAAGAAGTCATACTCAGGCAAGAGAAGGGTAGGTGTGGGAGCAAAAAGGACCAAGGCAGGAGGGGTGCCTCTGCCACAGAGGTAGCCTAAACCAAGGGTACAGTGTGTGGACCCCAGAGCCAAACTCTGCATGTAAATCCCCATTCCTTCACTCACTAGCTATGTCCGTAGGCAAATTACTTGCACCCCTCTGTGCTTCAGTGTTCTCATCTTTAAAAGGTAGATAACAGTAGTCCTACCTCCTAGGGGCTCCTGTGGTTCAAATGAATTAGTTTACACAAACCACTCAGAACAGTGCTTGGCATACAGCAAGTGATGTCTAAGTGTAACCTTTATCATAATGACAGCATAGTGGTTAACACGGTTTCTGGTACAAGAGGTCCCGAACTGGATTCCTGGCTGCTCCTAGCTGGGTGACCTTGGCAAAATTACTGCAAAATCTCCGTGCCCCCATTCTTTTTCAAAATTAAAATGACCTTCACATCAATGTGAAACCACACAGGCTGCAACAGAGTTAATTTCCGAAGGCTCTCCGCGCTCCACCCTCGGCCTCCAACTCCCCTTCCTGGCCCCCAAGCGCTGAGATCTGCTGAGAAACGTCCCAGACAAAAGCGCCAGGCAGAAGTAATGCACCACCGACCCTACCACGCCTGGCGAATCCGCCCCCCAATCCAAATGCCCACGCTCTACTCAAGACGCGAGAGCTGCAATTCCCGCTCCCTCCTCCCCTCAAACCGCAAACCAGCCAGTCGAGGCCCCGAGCGCCCCCGGGGAGGGGCCGGGAAGAGGCGGGGCCCGGCTGCGACAGCGCGGCCGAGGGAGCCCGGGAGATGCGGGGGCTGCGTCCGTGCCCCCTCACCAGTAGCAGCTGTTGTAGACACAGGCGTCCCGCGGGGGGCTGGCCGGCTGGTAGTGGGCGGCTGCAGCAGCGGAGACGCCCCCCTCCATGGCGGGCTAGCTTGGGTCGGGGCACCCGCTAGAGGCAGACCGACTGGAACAGCCCCCTGGCCGGCCTCGGGGAGGAGCCAGCGTACAGCAGCCCGCGCGGGTTCTCGGTGCGGAGTGGGCGGAGCCGGGGGGGGGGGGGGGGGGCCGCTGCTGCAGTTCCCGGGGTAGGCGGGGCCGGGGCAGGGCGAGCGGCGCATTTCCCCGCGCGCGAGGCCCTGGCGGGCGGTGCAAATTCCGGAGGGCGGAGCCTGGGCGGGACGCGCCGCGCAGGTTCCGGAAGGGTGGAGCCAGGGCGAAGTGGGCGGATCTGGGGTGGGTGAGCGGCGTGAGTTCCCAGTGGGCGGAGCCCGGGACCAGGAGGACCGCGTGTTTCGAGTAGGCGGAGCCCGGCGAGGTGGGTGGAGTCAGGGGCGGGGCGGCGCTGGTGCCTGCTGAGGCGGGGCCGGCAGTGCTAGGGGTGTCGGTAACCGCGAGGGTCCGGGCGGCTGGGGGAGAGGAGAGGTCGCTGGCAGGTGGCTTGGAGAAATGTCAGGGGAGGGCTTGGAGTTGGTAAGCCCTTGGACCCTGCACGGCACTTCGTGAGTCTCCCGGAGGAGTCTGAGACCCATCTTCCAGCCCTGGGGCGGGTTGCCAGTTGTGGAGGAACCGGATGAGACGCCGAAGACTCGACGTGTGCGAGTGAAATAAGCGAACCTTGTGTGTGAAAAACGACGCTTGAGCGCTTGGAGCCTCGAGTCCGCGGGGAGCTGGGGAGGGAGGAGGGAGCGGGGAGGTTAATTCCAAATACTTCCTCATCAAGGGCGGTTTCAGAGAAGGCTATCACCCCCAAATCTGGCCGTATTGTAACATTTTTTTAAATAGGAAAATTGTACGTATTGGCTCAGAAAGATACATTGTTTCCTTGATATAGTAAGTAAAAAAAAGTTGAAAAAGAGTCGCGTGGTATCCATTTTGTGTTAATCATGTATTTGTTTATTTGCTGGCAGTCTGGGAGGAAGGACACCAAATTGTTAAAACAGTGTTTATTTCTGGTGAATGAATGGTATGGAGGACTTTCACTTTATAGCCTTCTGAATTGCCTATATTTGCAAAGGTCATATATAGCTGATCAGGGTACTTCCCATTATAAAAACTGAAATTCTTAGGTTGGTTTATAGGCTGTCTACAGATCTCTTCAGTCTCGTGAGTTCTAAAGTACATAAATCCTAAAGACTGAGCATAAATCCTCGTGTTGGTTATCGATTTATTGCATCTCAGCTCTGAATACACACTTCCACATAGGGTTGACTATGATAGGGGCCAGCCAAGTGGCTCCGTGGCCTGTTGGTTAAGTTTGGCATCCTTTGTTTCCCTGGCCTGGGTTGGGTTCCCAGCAGGGATCTTCCTCAAGCAAAAAAAGAGGAAGATTAGCAACAGATGTTACTTCAGGGAGACTCTTCCTCAGCAAAAACAAAACAAAACAAAAGAAGTAACTATGATATAAGTGTAGCTATAACATATAAGGAAACTTTATATGGTACCTAGGGCTGGTGAAGAGTACTTAAGAAGGACAAATTTATCAACAACAAAAAAACTTAACAACCCAATTAAAAAACAAGCAAAAGACCTGAATAGACATTTCTCCAAAGAAGATATACAGGTGGCCAACAGGCACATGAAAAGATGTTCAACATCATTAACTATCAGGGAAATTCAAATCAAAACTACAATGAGAATGGCTATAATTAACAAGACAGGAAACAACATGTGTTGGAGAGGATGTGGAGAGAAGGGAACTCTCATACACTGCTGGTGGGAGTGCAAACTTTGTGCAGCCACTATGGAAAACAGTATAGAGAGTCCTCAAAAAATTAAGGATAGAACTACCATATGAGCCAGCTATTCCATTGCTGGGTATTTATCCAAAGAACATGAAAACACGAATGCATAAAGATACATGCAGCCCTGTGTTCATTGCAGCATTATTCAAGACTTGGAAGCAAACTAAATGCCCATCAAGGGACGAATGGATAAAGATGATGTGGTATATATACACAACGGAATACTACTCAGCCATAAGAAACGATGAAATCTAGCCATTTGTGACAACATGGATGGACATTGTGAGGGTATAATGCAAAGTGAAATAAGTCAGAGGGAGAAGGTGAAATACCGTATGACCTCACTCATAAGTAGAAGATAAAAACAACAACAAACAAATACATAGATACAAAGATTGGATTGGTGGTTACCAGAGGGGAAGGAAGGAGGGAGGAGGGCAAAAGGGATGATTAGGAACATGTGTATTTGTGATGGATTGCAATTAGTCTTTGGGTGGTGAACATGATGTAATCTATGCAGAAATAGAAGTATAATGATGTAAACCTGAAATTTACACAATGTTATAAACCAATGTTACCACAATAAAAATAAAGAAAGCTTGATAAAACTATATATGTACCGGGCCGGCCCCGTGTTGTAGCAGTTAAGTGCACATGCTCGGCTGCTGGGGGCCCAGGTTCGGATCCTGGGTGCGCACCGATGCACCGCTTGTCAGGCCACGCTGTGGTGGCATCCCATAGAAAAAAGAGGAAGATGGGCACAGATGTTAGCCCAGGGCCAATCTTCCTCACAAAAAACAAAAAAAAAAAAAAAACGGCAAATATGAAAGAGGTTTGGACCTCGTCGGAGAAGGCATGGGTTGGCTCCCAGATAGCAGAGAAGTTCACTGGTTTACCCAGGGTGGAGGTGGTCTGGAGTTGCGGGGCAAGCAATAGAGAAGGGGGTACAGGGCAGCCAGCAGTCTCTGCCATAATGTGCTTTCTTTATGCTTTAAACTTTCTCTTATAAATAGGAATTACTTTTTAAATTGAAAAAAATAGATCATATTTTAAATATTCATATGACTTCATGGTTGTGTTGTTGTTAGTGCCATGGAGTCGATTGTGACTCCTAGTGACCCTGTGTTCAGCAGAGTGGCACCCTGCCTGGTCATTTTGCTCCATCCTCTCACATTCCAGGTGGGTCAGGCAATGCTCTACTGCTATTCATAGGGTTTTCGTGGCCAGTTTTTTCAGAAATGGATGGCCAGGTTCTTCTTCTTAGTCTCTCTTAGTCTGAAAACTCTGCTGAAACCTGCCCACCATGGGTGACTCTGCTGGTATTTTTGTGTGTGTGTGTGTGAGGAAGACCAGCACTGAGCTAGTATCCGATGCCAATCCTCCTCTTTTTGCCGAGGAAGATTGGCCCTGGTTAATCTTCCTCTACTTTATATGGGACACCGGCACAGCATGGCTTGACTAGCGGTGCATCAGTGCGCACCTGGGATCCAAACCTGCGAACCCTTGGGCAACCAAAGCGGAGCACGCGCACTTAACCACTACGCCACCGGGCCAGCCCCCTCTGCTGATATTTGAAATCCCAGTGGCATAGCTTTCAGCATCATAGTAATACGCAGCTGCCACATTATGACAACCAACAGACGGGTGGTGGTGTTCCCTGACTGGGAAGCAAACCCAGGCCCAGGCCACTGTGGTGAGAGCACCAACTACTGGACCACCAGGGCATAGTAGAGACTATAAAAAGGGATATGGTTTCAGAGGAGTAGGAGGTGCTTAGAACCAGATTTTGACCTACAAACTCCAATGATCTGGATGAGGAAGAAACAAGAGATGCATTCAAGGAAGCCAATACCCAATGAAATTAGGATGTTAAAGGGCAGGAGTTTAGAGTAGGAGGAACACATAACAAAAGAAAGTATAAAAAGAGGCCACAGATGTGAAAGAGGAGATTCAGGAAGTCTACAGCACATAATACACCGAGGTTTAATAACAAAATGGGGGTTTATTTTTTATCAGAGGAGGGAGTATTTTCAATGCTCAATATTAAGAGCTAGAAGAAAAAGGGAGAGAGAATCCCATTGCCTGGGACCATATGATATGATGTGATCAGACAACTGAAAGGAAACAAGAATACCCAATGTCTGTTTTGCTTGCATTTTGTCTATCAAAGAAAGTGATTCTCAACCTTGAAAGAATAAGGAAAATAGCAGTAAGAGGAAATTAAGACTAAGACGGGTACAGCGGTAGAAAGCACGAAATTGTCTTAAATGGGTTAAAAATCTTCAGACCCAGAAGAGTTATATCCCAGTGTACTGAAAGTGCTTTAGATTATGACCCCCAAATCCATAGATTTAGATTTTCTTATGGATCTTTGAGAAAATGTTGGAGGAGATGACATAAGGCTAAATAAATACGACTACTTGCTGTCTTGAGTTTCATAAAAGGAAAAAAAATATGTATTCCAGACACTATACCCTGGAGAACTTGATGCCTATTCCCAGGAGGATTTGTGACCATGAAGAAAAAGTGATTATTTAGGGGGCCTTAGTGGTTTACCGAGCCCATTTCATGCCAAATAGACCTCATTTCGAGGAGGTTGTTGGAAAAATTAATTGATCATTGGAATAGGATTATAGCACAAACAGTATAATTTGATTCCAAAAAACAGCTGGCCCGGTTTTATTAGTCCTGACTTGTTCAATTAAAAGTGAAGGCAGAAAGGCTGTTTATCACCTCGTTTAACAGGAAGGACACTGAAGTGGCTCTCACAGTCAGAGGATGAGCTGCTGAAACTAGGGTCTCAAGGGACCAAAAAGCAGAACACAGTTCCCCAGGCCTTCTTTCTCCCATCTCTCAGTCTGCTTCTCAGTGCTTGGCTTCATTCGGAGGTGACTTCACTTCTTGCTGTGGGGAGGATGGCTGCTGGCAGTCCCATATTCATATTTTCCAGGCTGGGCAGCCCCAGTGGAATGAGAAAACTTCTTTTTCCTCATAGCAATCACACAGAGTGACTTGTACCTTTATCTTTTACATTTCTGTACTGCTTGAATTTTTCACATGTATTAGTTTCTAATAATGAATTTTTTAAAACAAAAAATTTCTAAAAAAAACACATTTATCAACATTAATAGAAAGAGCTGCATGGACAGACTATTGTTCACTCAACTTTTCCCCTACTATTGTACCTTTAGTTTGTTTTCAGATCCTACTATTTATTTATTTATTTATTTATTTATTTATTTATTGTGAGGAA